ATTCTGTCAGCGCATCATCCAGAGACCAATTGTGTAGGTTCACAAGGTCACTCATCTGACCCCACAATTGTCTATCCGCCATCATGATCTCCTCCCCAGAGGGGTTGCGAAGTCCGGATTCCATCTTCTGAGTGGCCAACCGGATGAATTTGCGCTCAAACTTTCGAAGAACTGACAAGTGGGCCCCGTTAAGCATTGCCAGAGAAGTCGAAAGAAGACCCATGATCCCTGAAAGGTAGTTCGCTCCCACCTGACCCGAGGGAATTTCCCGCTGCGGCACTTCGTCATAAAGAAGATCCTCCAGCTTCGGGGTTTTTGTGGGGCGACGCAAGGCCATGGAATCTTGCTGAGATTGACACATTCTAATCTTCCACGGCACCCACTTGAGCTCTCCCTTTTGGACGATCTTGGCAGCATATGCAAGTAGCCTCGAGGAAGGAAAGTTCTCGGGGTCTAGAACCTCTCCTGGGTACCGCGAATGAAAGGCCTTTTGAAGAGAAATCACCTTCTCGCCCGACAGCTTAGGCGGGAACTGCTCAGTCCAGCCGGCTGCCGAAGAACGAGCCTCCTCCGATGAATCTGACCTTTTGTTTGCTGGAGCCGCCGAAGATTGTTTCTTGCATGACTCAAACAAAAGCCGCAATGAAGAGAGCAGACGAAGTTTACCAGCAGCCGACTCTGGTTCTTCCGAATTCTCCAACAATTGGCTCAGCGCCGTGTCCAACTGGGATGCTTCGGAAACTAGGCAACCGAAAAGAGGAACATCAAAGCCCTGGAGTATCTCATGATACTCTTGTGGGACGCGACATTCCTTTGCCAAGGATAGCAATTCCGCATCCAGGGTGCTTGCCTCCTCTGTCGCCATGTGCCACCAAAGAGCCCTGAAATGCCGAGCTACCACAGCTAGACCGATGCTAACACTGCAGGGCTGTGGTCCGAAGACACACCGGTACGAAAATGCTTGCAATGTACAGCATTTTCACTGGCAGAGAACGACGATCCCGCGGACCCCACATGCGGCACAGGACTTGCTTGGTACAACCCACAGCCGAACCCCACATGCAGCGAGAAATGGACTTGCAGGAAACGACCTATAATCTCGGCTCCACATGTGGACTCCCGCTGCAGGCCCCACGTGACCCACTGTTGCAAACGCGGTTTTGGCTTGACACGCCCAGGGTCTGTCCCGGATCTTGTGACCGATCGCCGTCCCCCTCGTGCCCCCGCTCGCTCGCGGGAAACGAGGGATCGCAGTGGAGACGAAACTGATACAGGTCCCGCACTCTGATCGATCGCCAGAGACTTGCCGCCGAGCACCCAAAATCGATACGACCCACCTAGGTCGACCAAACGATCGCCTGGCAAGCCTTGTGCCTGCAAAAACGAGGATTTGGCGGCAGATCAACTAAGACGGTCATGGACGGTGCAATGGTACCGCAACGGGGCTTCACTCTGATTTTGTTACCGTCTGGCCGAACCACAACAATGCCCTCAAGGCCGCTATGCGGGGATGCGCAATGAATCAACCCCGAAGATGTCTGAACCCAAAGATACTCCTCTGCATCTTGCCCCGACACCTTCGTCCAAGAGCGAGACTGCTGGGTCGACGGTGCGGACGAGGACGTAGACGAAGAAGATGAGTCCACATCCGAATCCCCCGCAGGCTCCACCGCCTCCGGTGCAGGGACCGGAGGAGCTGAAGGCACCCCCTGATTTGCCAGTGGTAGAGCTGATATGTCCTCAACAGGAAAACGTAAATGAGCCGGAGAGGTGTGGAAAGACAGCACCTGAGGCTCGATCGGCATTTGTTTAGCTGGGTGCAAACCGCCGCGTGCTTGTGGGGTCAATGGCAGCCAGCCCGAACGAATTTTATCCCAAAACATCTGTTGAAGTGAAAGAGCGCCATGAACATCATCCCGGCTGTAAAGCAGGACACACCCATTGGCAGAAGACCGATGATGGCCTTGAAGCCCCCGTTTCTTGAACGATACCTGAAGTTGAGCCAGCGAAGCCAACAATGAAGTCTTCAATGAGTGCAACGTGTAATTGCCAGCCTCGTGTGGCGAGAGCCCCGCCGCCACAAGAGCACCTCGGAAAGCCGATAACGCCTGGGCGTATGACATCGGTCTCCACTCCGTATCGTCAGACAAGAAGAAGAGGGCGTCAGGGACCGTTTCCCCAAAACGTTCCGTAATATTATCCCATTCACAGCCCAGAAGGAACAAGTACTTGCAAACCCAAGAGTGATAATATGCCGCAGTGTCCCCGTAGAAACCACAAGAGACCAGGCCGAAAGGCATGCCTCGACGAGAAGACTTGGTGCGGTACGATATTGCTCTGAGACAATCCCGGCCAGCCTGAAACGATGACCATAAGATATGCTGACAGTCGCTGAAGCGCAAGCTGGCGTTCGCCGCCACCAGGAGACTCCCGATGAACAATCGAAACCCGGGCCCCCCCTCCTCGCTCAAGAGGAAGCGTTCCCAAGCAGCCAATATGAAAATCGGGAGTGGTAAAGCTTCCTTGCGATCCGAAAGAACCCTGGA